CGTCTATGATTATCACCCGTAGCGGCTACAACAACCTAGTGCATCCCGCAGTTCTGTGAGTACAAGGACAGACCATACGCGTTGCTGCTGTTTGATCAGTTTCCGCGTTTCTGTTATCATATGCAGTGGATGATTTTTGCATGTTTTCAGTCTGTTCATTCGGACAAGTTTTGTATCCAGATCTTTGTTAGTCTGCCTCTTCTTGTTTCCTCTGTCATGCCCACTAGCATCCTTCTGGAGAGGCCAGTAGATTGTGTTACTTCTGTCTGCTTAAATCATCAAATATTACGAAAGAAACTTTACTTTTTAAAATTTTCATTTGGTCCGACTTGTTGCAGCTTCCTTGCCCGCAGTGGCCATACTTGTGGAAATCTGGCGCCACCAGAAGCGCAAAGCAACGAAGGAAAGGGGAAATGACAGTTTTTAAAAAAACTACCCCCAAAAAACACAGGTATGCAGGAGGAAAGTAACAAATACTAAAAGAAAGAATCAAAAGGAAAAAAAAAGCATCTTTCGTTACTGTAAATATGTCAAAAAAAACACAGAAGTCTGACAACAAGATGACACATCAAGTCCGTCTACACGGTTATGTATTATATCCAGTCGGATACAGATGAACACGGGCAGCCGAGATTCCACACATCGTGTTTATTTTCTTCGTTTCGTAGTAAATATGAAAGTACGATTTCGTACACTTGAACCCACACATTCCCGCACATACCCACACACTGCAGTATACACACACAAACACTCAGTGACGCATAGATGCGTACACCCTCCCCCCAACACACACACACTCACCAATACACTTACCCACACACACGCACCAACGCTCATATGCGTATAAAAACACAGGTAAAGATAGTAAATATATAGAACATGTTGCACCGAAAAGCATAAACACACCAATACACACATACACATGTAAATATACGTACTCACACACACAGGTGTAGATTGTAAATATGTAAAGAGGTGTCGGCTTCTACACTTGTCGATATACTGCATCTAAACACACACATTTACACAAATCAACGCACACACATTCAAACACTCATATATAAACTTTGGTAAACTTGTCGACATGCTGATCCGGTCGTTTTTACGGAGTCCGGCCCAACTACACACTATTGGACCTTTCATTCATGCTTGCTCCGGCTGGTCAACATCGGGGCGGGGGGGGGGGGGCGGGGGTGGGTTCATTGTCTCCGGTGGTATCACTGGCGAACGAACCGTTATCTAGAACTGGCCCTAACCCAAATACCCCTACGCACAGCCTCAGCCTAGGTCCTAAGTAGGTCCTATGGCTTCAGAATTGTTAACATTTACCGCTCCTCCCTAAAAATCTGTTTTCCTCCAGAAAAACATCTCTCTTCATCTCGTCAAAGCTTACAGCTGACCTAAATTCAAGCCGTACCTGAGGTCCGTAACATATGCAATCTCGCCTCTCCTGTTGCAGCAGCCAGTAGATCACACTGCGTAGCTCGCCGCTTACATACGCACAATATAGAAACCTCTTTGCGAACACCACACAAGGTGACACCCCTCGAACATAGACTAGCCCGTGTCACGGGTGAGAAGTATAAATGAAAGCAGGACTGTACCGAATATTCGCTTCGGGGCCGAATAGTGGACCCAATAACTATTCGGTATTCGGCCGAATAGTTGCGATCGGGCCGAATACGAATAGTGGTTACAGCCGTTTCTGGACTGGTGGAAAAAAAACATCAAGATTTCCCACCTTGGTTTATACTGTCAAGCGTTATCTTTGTGCACCACCTACGAGCGTACCAAGTGCCCCTTTATTTCCATCTTGTATGTGTTGCGAGTATAGTGTTTTTAGGTGTGTTGCTGTAGAAACATAATGCAACACTTGAAGATGTAAGAAGGGCAGAAAAGCAAGTGTTATAGTGTTGTCGGCTTGATTTCTTTGAGTGGAGAGTCCTCTTCGTTAAATGTTTGAAGTAACGGGAGTTCGTCATCATTTATGGGTGTCGTAACTGTTCTTTCGTCGTCTGGTGGAAACGGCAGCGGCTGAATGTTTTGATCGACGTTCGGTTTCTTCGTTGTCTTTGTTGTTTGATCTTCTGGCGTTGGCCGCTCGGCGTCTGGATTTTTCGTCTGCAATGATTTTGTCGTTATTTGATCTTCAGGTGTTGGCTGCTCGGCGTTGTCCGTCTCCGTGGCCGCGGTGGTCTTTGATGTCGCTATCTTGTTTCCGTTGAATCCTTGAGCTCGCGGGGGAGGGAGGTGGAGGGGCTGGGCGACTTGTGAGGACGGCAATGTTTTCTTCGTCAGCGTTATTTTTGTTTTTGATGTTTCGCCTTGCGGGTTTTTATCTTGACTCTCTGTATTTGTCGTATTTTCCTGTTTAGTACAGCTGGAAATATCTCCAGTGAGAAAAAAAAAGCTGCCCTAATGCTGACAACATGGAACGAAGGTTTTTCATGGAAGTGTGTCAGCACACGAACTAATACGTGCTGCAGGAGATCGCAGATTGTGGCGAGGCATAATCGCCCATGCCAGCCGGCAAAGCACATGATGATGATGATTCACTATTCGTATTCGGCCGAATAGTTGGTCCAGCTATTCGTATTCGGCCGAATAGTGAAAATCACTATTCGGTACAGCCCTAAATGAAAGCCTAATTACGTTGTTTGGGCCGGAAAACGTAAACTGGACCACTGATCCAATCACGCAAATACACACACACACATGGACCGTTGGGGTATTGAACCCTCCCTTTTTTGTATGTTGGAATCCACTCGATATATCCGTCCTATTATTAATTTGGCAAGTTTATGCATGACCTTCTCCAGCTTTCATCTTCTGCCTGAGGTCACGGTTTGATGTACCCAGGTGTGTTTTTTCTTTCTCTCTCTTCCTGTTGTTACCACAAGTAGCGGTAACCATGGACGCCATCTCCCCATTGATGTGTGTGGCTAGTAAGTTCTCACCGCAAGTAGCGGTAACCATGGACGACATCTCCCCATTGATGTGTGTGGCTAGTGAGTTCTCACCGCAAATAGCGGTAACCAGGGACGCCATCTCCCCATTGATGTGTGTGACCAGTGCGTCCTCGCAGCAAGTAGCGGTAACCAGGGACGCTATCTCCCCACTGGTGTGTGTGACCAGTGCGTCCTCGCAGCAAGTAGCGGTAACCAGGGACGCCATCTCCCCATTGATGTGTGTGACCAGTGAGTCCTCGCCGCAAGTAGCGGTAACCAGGGACGCCATCTCCCCATTGATGTGTGTGGCTAGTGAGTTCTCACCGCAAGTAGCGGTAAACAGGGACGCCATCTCCCCATTGATGTATACGACCAGTGCGTTCTCACATCTGACATCTCTGACAAAAATGCTTTGCCAGGAACCTACAAAGTTAGCTACATATCTTTTACAAGACGTTGCAGAAGCAACCCAAACAGTTTTGGGCTTTTTTTTTTTTTTTGGTTTAACAGGCAATTTTTACGTTCAGTAGTTTGCCACTGACGTTTTTCTGCAAAAAAGACTTTGGCTCCCTGATCGACCAAAGTCTTAAATGGGTACAGGTTAAAAATCATGGAAGTTAAAGGCGGCCAGCATGATGCTGACCTCATCGCGCACAATAGTCGGTAACGTCCGGTGAAAACGGTCACTTTATTTTACTTTCTCTTTTAGTTTGCCATTTGCCATTGCAGCATCTTACAAATTGAAGAATATTCTATGCAATCCTTCTTTGTCAGCTAAGACTAGACAGAGAATCATGAACAGCTACACGCGTCCTATCCTGATGTGCAGAAGTGAATTATGGAAAACTGAATGTGACGTAGTTTTATAGACGAATGGAGAGTAATGAAGATTTCTAGAAGGAAACGGACTCACGAAGAGAACAGATTGCACACATCAGAAAGAGACCATCTACATTCTTTAGTCACGTTATGAGAAGGAGAAAACTGGAGTGCATCGTGACGATTTGAAAGTTGAAGTAGAAAACTGGAGTGCATCGTGACGATTGGAAAGTTGAAGTAGAAAACTGGAGTACATCGTGACGATTGGAAAGTTAAAGTAGAAAACTGGAGTGCATCGTGACGATTGGAAAGTTGAAGTAGAAAACTGGAGTGCATCGTGACGATTGGAAAAAGTTGAAAACTGGAGTGCATCGTGACGATTGGAAAGTTGAAGTAGAAAACTGGAGTGCATCGTGACGATTGGAAAGTTGAAGTAGAAAACTGGAGTGCATCGTGACGATTGGAAAGATGAAGTAGAAAACTGGAGTGCATCGTGACGATTGGAAAGTTGAAGTAGAAAACTGGAGTGCATCGTGACGATTGGAAAGTTAAAGTAGAAAACTGGAGTGCATCGTGACGATTGGAAAGTTGAAGTAGAAAACTGGAGTGCATCGTGACGATTGGTTAAAGAAAACTGGAGTGCATCGTGACGATTGGAAAGTTGGAGGAGAAAACTTGAGTACATCGTGACGATTGGAAAGTTGGAGGAGAAAACTTGAGTACATCGTGACGATTGGAAAGTTGGAGGAGAAAACTTGAGTACATCGTGACGAAAGTTAAAGTAGAAAACTGGAGGCATCGTGACGATTGGAAAGTTGAGTACAAAACGTGCACGTGACGATTGGAAAGTTGAAGTAGAAAACTGGAGTGCATCGTGACGATTGGAAAGATGAAGTAGAAAACTGGAGTGCATCGTGACGATTGGAAAGTTGAAGTAGAAAACTGGAGTGCATCGTGACGATTGGAAAGATGAAGTAGAAAACACACGGAGGAAAACGAGAGGAAAGATGCTGGACAGTTTGACATCAGGGCGTGGAAAACCATCTGTGTGAGAACTGTTTGAAAGTACACGATATAGAAGATATTGCACTGAAAGTACACGATATAGAAGATACTGCAGTATCTGTGACAGGGGTTACCTATACGGTGCATCTTACCAGAAAACAATTACTCCCTAATATGACCTGTAACAATAATCGTGTACATGTTACGTAACGTGTACACCGGCATATATCAGTGCTCGGTTTGTTCTGGAGAGTGGCCAGTGTCCAGACAGAAGCAGAACTTCTTCAATAAAGAATTGTTCACACAGAGAGACTGATCACTGTAGGCATTGATTCTACTAATGTCGCCCCCTAACTTGTACGTATCCACTGAGGGGTCATATGTCATGGTTGCCTCAAACATGGCGTGGCCTGGTACAGTAGACAGAGTCACCTGGTACACCACTGGTGCTTCCGTTTTAGCTCCATAGACAACTGTTCTGTTGATGACGTCGTGGAAAGTGTCGGAGAAACGAAGCACTTTCTCGTTGGACTCCATCTGAACAACTTCGGAGACGTTATGTAGTCTGAGACCAGCGCACAAGTGGGACACGGGCATGAGCTGGGCGTTTATGTGGTCAACCACAGCATTGCCAATCAGTTTGGCAAGTCTGCTGTTTGCATTCAGCCTCTTCTGCTCCAGACACAGGCACCAATGGGGGAGGATCTGCGCGTGGTCACAAGTCCGTTCTGCGGGGATCTCTCTAAACAAGCTGATACCTCTACTGGAGATGTCAGCTTTCCTGGCAGCGCCGTCAAAATATAAGATGTCTTTCAAAGTTTCGTGGATGTCAAACGGCGTTGTCAGCCGACGGGAATTTATCCTTAAATTTTTCACAAGCTGTGGATATTTGTTACGGAAACTGGGAGGGAAAATTAAATAAAGGAAAGGGAGTCGCTCTTCTACTTTCCCCATGTAAGATGATCGCATTGTGCCGAAACGATAGCCGTGGTCGCTGTAAAGGATAAGCACAGTATTGTTAAAATGGCCCTCGTCTTTAAATCGTTTAAGGAATTTGAGGTAGGCATAGTCAGCAGATCCGGCTAACTCTTGACTGTCATGGGTCAGCCTCGTTATGAAGGTGAATCCAAAGTGGGGCTTCTTTTTAAATACTCGCGAAAAATCGGTGACGTAATCCAGCAACATTGTGGTTTCCAACCTGTCAGCCACGCAATGGTGGTCCCTGCTCCAGATGTCCCTCTGTGTCTCCATCGCCAACGCCAGCGGACGGTTGTAGTAGTCGGCAGGTGGTGTGTGGAAACCTTCTTTTGCATAAACAAATATTGCCATCTTGGGAGCGTCTTCGGCGTACAAGGTCCGATAGCCAGCTTTGGAGAAGTTTTTCCACAGAAACGGGTACTCGTCAAAGGGGCGATCAGACATGGTTTCATTCCACCCCATTTCATGGACGAATTTCCCGACCATCATAGGGACGATATTGACGAATGTATTATCTGCAACTTTATTGTACCCGGACATTTCGAAAGCCTGCAGTTCTTCGTGCAGAAACTGTCGTGTCTGCTGCATTTGTCGAATAAAGTGGAGTCTGGAGACTGAATCCACGCCAATCATATGAACGTTGTACGTTTCTTTGGGAGCGACCTTCTTCAGATGTTGCTTAAAGAGGTAGTCAGACCTATGTTCCACGTCTTCTTTGGGAGTCACCACGGCGTGGAAGTTTGTGGCGATCTTCCCATCGCTGTGGCTATAGCAGTGAACCCTCAGGAACTCATTTTCTGGAGGCACCAAGATATCGTGATCAAACGCGTTGCTCACGCCCCCGTATACAAAGACAAAATCGCTGTTCTTCGGTCCTCTTCTGATTGGCTGATACTGGCAGTATTTGAAATCTCCCCCTAATTTTTGTTCAATCTTTGTCCTATTTAACTTCAGTACCGATCCTTCCGTGTAAGTTATGGATATTTTCTGAAAACAAAGCAGCTCCCCGCGACGTTTAATCTTCTGCATCACCGAAATGTCAAGGGGGTCCAGGTCTGGGATCTTACAATGTGGAGTGTCTAGCAAAAACCCGCGCTTATGAGAAATGTGCTCAGCTGGTCTCATCCAGCTGGCGGCGTCGTCAGAAATCAACTGTATGTTGTGCGGAAGCAGCTTGTGGCTGTCCCGGAAGAGGATCAAAAACGAGAAAGTCGACACGGATGTGAAAATTAGCAGGTACAGTAGCTTCGCTTGTCGTCTGCTTACCATGGTCCTGACTGACATTGTGAGGGAGGCCCCTGGAAATAAAAGCACACAGTTGACTTGTGTCAATCAGTTAGCATAACCAGCACAGATCAAACAATAAATCGGGGTATTAACGTATTCATCAGCTGAATATACATTTACCTGGCCTAAAGGACCATAAATTGTTGAATTCCGTGGTTTGGTTTAATACAACATTCAGTTAATTTTATAATATTGACTTTCACATTCCAACTTTCAATTACTGACTTTCATTCCCTAGGAAATAAAAAGAAAGTATATCTATCGTGTGACTCCTGTTCCCCGAGTCGGTTCCTGTCCCCCACTGTGGGGGGGATGGGGGGGGGGAGAGGGGGAACACGAACAGACTCACTGACAGACTCTGTAACAAGCATGTCCTAAGAGTCGACTAGCTGGGGGCTTCTTTCAACGTCGGAGAAACTGCAGACAAATACGCCAGATTTTTAAAATGAATATACATCCGGCACTCGGGTGCTGGAACAAGACCAAAGTTTAGAGGTGGACGAACAACCAGAACTTTCCGCAGGAGTTTAAAGCCAGTGAACGCGAGAAGAAGAAGAAGAAAAGAAGAAGAAGAAGAAGAAGAAGAAGAAGAAGAAGAAGAAGAAGAAGAAGAAGAAGAAGAAGAAGAAGAAGAAGAAGAAGAAGAAGAAGAAGAATTACTGACTTTGTCAGGTTATAGAAAATTGAGAGCCATCAGGAGCGATGGGTATCCACAAGAGAGCTGACACCAAGAACACACTGGGGTCGCTGAGTCTCTTATGATATTTTCCAAGGGTAGCGAGCCTCAAGAGCTATATAAATCCTATCCTCGTATACGGAAGTTAATCATGGACAATTTGCGGATTAGTAAAAAGATTACCTGGAAGAGCAAGGGTGTGGCTTTATAAATGAATGATGAGAACATCCTAGAAGATAAAAAAAAATAGTAATGCAGTTGACTTATAGAGACCATCATTGATCATCAGGTCTCTCATTGGCTCGCCAGTGGACGACTTCGTCATCGGTCTGGACAGCATTTGGGTCTGTCTTCTTTGATCTCATCAAAACTGCAAGAGTCCTTTTATTGGTGGCGAGCAATGTAAAACCATTCTATCTAGCACACATAACCTAGTCACAATTATAATCAAAAGCGCCGCCTTCAAGGAAACTGGTTGAACGTGGCGGTTTTTTTTTTCGCAAAACATTGAGGGAGTTGAAAGAAACTGACCCGCGTCAGAAGGAGACCATGAACATGCTTTGGTCATTGTGACGACCAGGAGAAAGATGTTCGAGTTTGTGCGGGCGCCGCTGACACTTACACCACTCCTTGTGGCGATCCCAGGCTGCAGGATCACATCTCTAAGGCTTCTATAGTCTTTCAATATTTGAAAGAAGTCTACCCACTACTCACAAACACAACTTATTACAAGCCTCAGTCGTCATTATTTGTTATATTATAAGAAGAAGAAACCTGAAATATTCTGAAGCAACTGGAAAGGGTGCTTTAATTTTAGCTCGCCTTGAACACAGGCAACTGCGTTATTGCCAGGAAAGATCAATATTATATGAGTGTAAGGATTAGGGTTAGTGTTAGCGTTAGGGTAGGTCGATGTTAATTTCAAACCATAAAATACATATAATATTGGACTAATTTTTTTTATATACACTCCATCTCGGGGAATCCGAGAGTTCCTGGGGGAAATCCAATATTATGGGGGTGTTAGGGTGTGAAATTACCCTGACTAACCCTAACCCAGCCACCCATAATAATGGACTGTCATGGGAGCTCTCGGCTTTTCCTAGATGGGGTGAACTAAAATGAAAGTACCCTTTCCCGTGGATTCTGAGGGTGTCCGTGTTTGGGGTGAACTCAAATGAAAGTACTCTAAAAAGTTAAAGGAAAGATAAATACGTGAAGAAAGGGATAAAAGATCACAGACAATCTCTAAAGGTGAAAACACGGCCCGGCACCTAATGATAATCGACACGGAAGTGATGATAATAAGTGAGAAGTAACTCAGGCGTGTAATCAAAAAACATGGTGTGGGATTTGTCCATCAATATCTAAAGCTATTCGTTTACTATCTTTGTCACTAAAAATTGCAGTGTATTACCTATGTATCGACGTATCCATGTTTATACAATTATAACTGAATACAGCCTGCGACGGTACTTAGCGTTTCTCATTACAGGCAGAATGTAGTCGCCTGATGATGATGATGGTCCGTTAATGCAGACACGTAATTAAACATCCGTACAGGAAATATACTTGATGTTTTATGACAATACGCTGTCATTTTGACCCATGGCAGTCTACAGAACGTTCTGCCTCTTCTCTTGGTTCAGCCAGCGGGTCTCGTCTGTCCGTCAGCCATCCGCCATCTTTGGGACGTGGTTTCCTGTCTATTAGAGGATTGGTTAGTTGAAATTTGTGCCCCTCCGTGGACACATGAATGCAGCCCCCAATAGTACATTAATCTTCTTCTTCTTCTTCTTCTTCTTCTTCTTCTTCTTCTTCCTCTTTGTTCACCGGTTAATTAGAACAAAGTCATCTCATTGTGGATGCAATTTTTCGCTATTTTAAAGCCCCACCTTGGCTCTTGCCAGGGGCCGCAGTATAGCCCGGCCATAAATATGGCCTGATGGCTGACCGCGGTTTCCGGGATCTCTCCACGGGTAATCCTCATCCACATGGTGGCACTTTGTGTCATCGGGTGTTTATCGCTTGTCAAGTCCTAGTGGGGTAAAATTTACTACTACTACCATGTTCACCGGCTGTAAGCTCCAGCGACAAGTCCTGGTTTTTCGCCCATTTGAACTTTGGCTTTGTGCTAGGGCCTGAGTTTTGCATGTACATCAGTTTTATTGACTTTTTGTGTGCCGTTGATTTTTTCCATTGCAGCTCGGGCAGATGCACTCTAACTTCAAAAGAGGTCTCTAATTAGTCGACTCCTACGACATGCTTGCAGAGGAGGCAGTGGGTCTGTTTTTGTTTTCCCAAAATGGGGCCCCAAATTACACACGAGGAGACGCAATAATGCATGGGTAGGCTGTCAACCAAAGAATCCTTGAGGTGCCGCCTCCACAATGATGGTTGGTTGCAATGGATCTTCGACACTCTGTCTTTCACCTTGGATGCACACTCTCTCGAATTACTGTTAGTTCATCTCAAAATAACGTTTTCCCAAATTGTATCGCTGTCTGCCCTTTGCTCGCCTGCTTTCAACTTTTCCCTGCAGTATGGCTTTTATAAGAATCCCTGACCGACTCTCTGACCGACTCCCTGGCTGACTCCCTGACTGACTCCCTGACCGACTCCCTGACTCCCTGGCGGACTCCCTGACTGACTCTCTGACTGACTCCCTGGCGGACTCCCTAGCTGACTCCCTGACCGACTCCCTGACTCCCTGGCGGACTCCCTGACTGACTCCCTGGCGGACTCCCTGGCGGACTCCCTGACTGACTCCCTGACTGACTCCCTTTCTGACTCCCTGACCGACTCCCTGACTGACTCCCTGACCGACTCCCTGACTGACTCCCTGACTGACTCCCTGACTGACTCCCTGACTCTCCCTAACTCTTGGTGTTTCTACTTTCATTCTGTAAGCTCTTGTTTCTGGAATAGTGGATTCATATATTCATTCAATGACCAAACCATTTCGTCATTGTTTTTCAATGAATTTAACTATAGGTGTTGTTCCAACAGTTCTTGTAATTTCTTCGTTTCTCACATGATCTCTTTTAGTTTTGTTCACAGCCTATCTCAAGCATCTCATTTCGCATGTGGTCAGTTTTATTTCGTGTTCTTGAGTCAATCAATGTCAAAGTCGACACTGACTGCACAATGCTGGTATTGAAAATTGCACTTGTAATATGCCTTTTTTGTCTCTATTGAGATAGCCAGATGTTCCCTAAACAAGTATAAGAAATCTCATCATATAGCAGGTCCTTTGCAGAGAGTCGCTCTCATCACGGTCTGCCTGAAAGAAGCTCGGTCTCTCGCGGCTCTCTAGCCTCATATACTTTCCTATTCAAGGAGTCACTTAGTGTGGGTTCAAGTGCACTATTATATGGGAAACTAGAATACACCCACTGCCTACCCAAAAGCATGTCGTAAGAGTCGACTAATTGGGAGCCTCCTTCGAAGTCGGAGTGCAAGGAACCAAATGTGTCAGATCTGTCAAACGGATGCACACGCAACACGCAGGTTGTAGAACATGACTCAGTCCAGAAGTGAATGAACAAACAGAACTTTCCACCAGAGTTTACAGCTGGTGAACGCAAAGAAGAAGAAGAGGAAGAACAGTTATATCCTTCCTGGTACAATGCCTTCTACAGGTTTTTTTCCCAATCCACCATGACCCTTATGTCAAAAATAATTCAGCTTCCGAGACAGGGTGCTGTTTATCAGCCAGTCTTCCCTGATGTTCAGATCTTTTTAAATGTCAGTATTTCTTTTCTTCTTTGTCCGAGGTATTCCCATGATCTTTCTATAGCATTTCAGCTCAAAAGCACGTATTATCTTTCTTTAGAAATCTAGAAAATGTAATTTCAACAGCCGGGCCCTCAAACATTACAGACGGTATAACTTCTCTTCCAGATATCTGAGGTGACTAACAGAGTGTGCCACATCAAGTGATCCACTAAGTGCCACGTCGCTGAGAGTTCTGTATCTCCAACAAGCCAATTAACCCGAATACACCAAGCTTGCTAACCCGTTTCCAACAAATTAACCGGGAACAAACATGAATCCGTTAAGAAGTAACGGAAAGCTTGAGTCTATATTTAGCTACAATTCACAGGTAACTAGCGACCTTGTTGTGAGAAGATGACATTCACAGTTCTGCCAGGATTCATTGACGCCTTTCTCCCACTTTCGCCATATTCTATTGCTTGTCAGATTCTTTTTATTCTTGTCAAGTTCTTTTTTTATTCTCTTGTCTTGTCAAGTTCTTTTTTATTCCTTTGTATTGTCAAGTTCTTTTTTCTCTCTCTTATATTGTCAAGTTCTTTTTTAT